TTTACTTCTTCTACTATTACTACGTAGTTTTATTTTCAAGCCCCACTGTCTTTTTTAAAGTTCTGTGACCATATTGTGCTTTTGTGGGCGTTGTCTAAGTAGGCGTGGCATCTTGGCTGGCTGGTTAGCCGCTCCATGTTATTAATATTAAGTCGCTGAAACGGGCCAGGAATGAAAATGAAAACTGAAGCTTTCTCAGCCCGCACTCTTCAAACAAAATAGGTTGGTTTTTCATTCCAAAAGCGAGAAAAAGGACTTCAAAGCGGTTTTTGGGGGAATATTTGGTATAAAATAAGGAATAATAATTACTTGAATATCTATTAATAATAGGTGACTATAAGGTTTTCTAGATAAAATAGGAATAAGTTCCGGATATCATTACCAGCTTAAAAAGGCTTTTATTTAAATAAGTGCAAGTGTCAGTGTCCTTCTAGCAGGCTTATCCTTTTATTGATTTCATTACAAATGCCACTTAACCAATACATATATGTGGCAAGTCCTGCCATCCGGATTAGTCCTTTGACAGTATTAATAATGCAACAAGAACAAGGATATGCCCTCCTTGACTATAATCCCCAATGCAGTTAATGGATTTCGATGCCATTGAGATTAAAATGCCTCTAATTAAAGGAGTCTATCCTTCAAAGATAGGGGCTATTTTTAAGCTTATAAGAACTATTTTTTTCAGTGTATTGTATAATAGAACCATTCTAGTATTGTTAACAAGGAAAATTAAAACGTAAATGTTTGAAAATTAGATTTTGGCCCCCAAGTTGCTTTTGTTTAGTTGACTCTGGACTTCTTTTTTTTTTTTGGTTTTTTTATTCTTCCTCTCACACACCATATCCTTTGTGCTGTCTGTGCGTGTGTGTGTGTGCAGTGAGGTGTTGCCTAGTTTTCGGCTTGTTAGTTAGTTAAAAGTTTTTGCGTGCAATTAAAATGCTGCGCAAAAAGTTTCCTTCAACATTGTTCTTAATTTTTTTCCCCTGGTTTTTGCAGTTTGCCAAAGCCAAATACAAATGAACAAGTATTGTCTCAGCTTCCTATACCTACATATATATACTATATGTATATGTAATAGTGTCTGTATATGTATGCGTAAGTCCTGTTAGCCTGCAGTGGTAAAAGTGTGCAAGTCCTGTGGCAATTGTCTGATTGTTTTCTTAGCCGCAGCAGAAGGAGCAGCATTGAATGGCAAGAAAGTTCGTTATCAGTGACATTTTGGCGTATAAATAGCAAACAGCTCGCAGTCACTCCCTAACTGTCTGCAAACGCTAAGCCAGTTGGCTTACACTGAAGAAAATTAAAGGGTTTTGCTTCATTTTGGTTGATGGAAGTCAGAAATGGGGGTTATAATAGAAGCTTTTGTTACAGCGACTCGGGTTTTAATATTTTTGGAATATTTAATAGCCGGTGCTTCTTCAAAAAAATATAATAATTATATTTAGTACCGGGTGTTATTATTTTGTATATTATTGACTTTATTGTCCAACAAAATCAGAAATAAGAGAAGCCATAGATTCCTTTTTTGGGTTTTAATCAGCTTAAATTTCTAAACTATATGATATCCGGTACTTCTTCTCAAGAAGAACCAATAATATCCCTAAATACAAAGCAGTTTAATGTTTTTCTTTTAGAAAAATATGTTTTTTTTAAATAAAAATTAACAAAAACAAAGCATAGAGTCCCTGTTTATGATCCTCCCTTTTTAAGCTTAATTTTTTCTTTTATATGATATCCGGTACTTCTCTCTGAAGAAAGACAGACATGCGTCTAAGTGCAATGTTCTTTGAAAAATGTACAATCCTTCTATTACCCATATACCTAATCATTTTATTAAGACCCCTTTTAAACCCCATTATTTTTTTCAAGTGTATCCCCTCAGTTAGAGTTAGCAGTTAACAGTTCCCAGTTGCCGTGGCGAACGTGCTGGCAATGACAATTGAAATGAATATTCTAAGCAGCTGGGCCACCATCCGTAGTACTAGTACCTACTCCTGAACTTCAAGGAGTCCACTTTGAGGACCGGAGATTTTAAGAATTGAAGCCCGAATCTTGGCATTGTGTTTGTATTTATCCAATTAGCCAAAATTCCATCACAACAATGCCATCAAATGGGAAGTAAATCAAATATATATATAGACTTTCAATCCAGTTTATTTATATAAATTGTAGAAAAAGATAAAGAATGTTTGCACTGGTGACTTTAATTTGCAGAAAATAAAATTCGACATGCGAGTGTCACTCTCACTCGTTTTCTCATTCGCTGTTCCACTCGAAATTAAATCAATTGCTGACCGCAAACCACACAGACAGACACACCCAAAAAAAAAAAAAAACAAAAATGGAGAAATATGATTCATATGTGTAAGTAAGTGTGAGTGTGTGGGCAAAAAGGATCCGCAGAATACTGGATGACAGAGAGTACACATTTTTCTCTACCATTTCTGATTCTGATTCAGATTCTCGTTTTTTTCTTTTTTTTTCTTTTTGTTTTTTTTTTGTATTTTTCTGCCATCGTCGGAAAACTGACAAAACTAATTGCCTCAGCGGCCGTAAACAAAAAGGGAATATTCGCTGCATACTTTGCGGCAAGTGGCAGTCAGAAAACGTCATAGTCGAAAGGCAAAAAAAAACTAGGGAGGGGTTGGAAGAAAAAGGCAAATTGAAAATAAAAATCTTAACAAAATAAGCTAAAAGCTGCCGAGTTGCAGAGCGCATTAAATCATTTCCGCACCGCGAAGCAGGCAGATTCAGTTCTTGTTCCACTGCGGTAATGTGCAACTTGCAACTTGCAACAATTTGCACCGCAAGAAAATCATATGTAAATCCAACAACAAAATCTTAAGCTCAAAACTTAAATCTTCACCCCTTAAATTAATTTTTAATAAAAAGAAAATATAATAAAATAAATGTTGCAAGGACATCTAGGAAGGATATCCTTTTGTAGTTGGCACAGTTTACCACTATTTATGGCCTGTCGTTGAAATAAGAAGATGAAAAGTGCATCTCAACTTCTCTTCTGGAAGTACCAGAAAAATGATTCGCCAGGAGCACGAGCAGCAGGAGGATACAAAATAAAAAAATAAAAAGGATATAAGAAAGTATGGGAATATATGTGTATATGTGTAGTACACTCTCTCAGTCCGATTAGCGCATTCATGTGTGTGCATGTGTAACATATTCAGGCAATTACTGCCATTCAGCGCATTTCAATTCAACTTCAAAAACTGCCCTCTTCCTCCCATATCCCTATCCCTCTGGGCATTCCTTTTTGGCATCTCTTGTTGTGTGTGTATGTCTGTGTGTGTTGTGGTGAAAGTAGAAAAAAAAGCTTTTAAACTCAACTCAAGATTTTTGCTGTTCACGCTTGGCTCGCAAATTTTTTGACTGTTGCTGCTTATTTAGTTTTGCTGACTCCCTAGTGTCTCAACCACCGAAAATCTGTGGACGATGGCAAAATGTTAAGGATAATGGTAGTTAAAAGGGTTAAGGATTTTAAAGGGCAACCTATGGATATCCTTGACTTAGGAAATTTTTTTTTAGAATTATTTTTAGACACTTATGCTTCGATAATCTCTTAAGGCTATAGCTTTAAAGTTTTTATTAGAAACATGTTTCAAAAATATGACCGGACAAAAGCCCACACTTAAAAGTGTTGGAAAAGACTTAAAACAGTGTTAAAAAGTTGAAATAATTATTATAAATAGTAACAGATACCCGGTACTTGCAAGGCTGTTTTTTTAAATATTTTTCCTAAAACTTTCTTCTTATAGTAAACGTTACAAACATTTCTAAAAAATATTAACGAATACACAGACAAAAGTAAAAGGTTTTAGATCTAAAATAGTTTTATAAAACGTTTAATAGACCTTAAAAAAGTGTTGGAAAATATAATTAATAACAAAATTTCCTAATATATGGGATTTACACTATTTTAAAGCAAAAGAAGCAACTAAAAGTAAAACATCTAGATAGATTTTTTAAATTTTTGCTAACTGCTTCCTTTTAATTATAAACTTCCTAAAAAATTCCCATTAAAATCTAACAAATTTCCTGACAAATTTTCGTTTTATTCCGGCCCATTGTAAATGGTATTCTCATAATTTTTGGGAATGCACGCTGACTGGCTAGGTCTCTGCCTCTTGCCTTGCCAGGATCCTGGAGAATCCTTCTGCTGGCGTCTTTATCTACGACTGCCACTTTATGAGAGTGTGTGTGTGAATTTTTGTGTTGTATTCCCTCATCATTTTCTTTCACTCCATTTTGTTGTTGGCTCTCTACTATGTTGCCTGTAAGAGTGTGTGTATGTGTGTGTTTGTGTGTAGGAAGGACTACCGTTTTTATAAGTCTGTGAAAATGTAGTTCATATATTTTGGCGAAAATTCATTTTGCAGTTGACATAACTTTGTCAGCCCCAATTTATCAACAACAATTAGAAGAGCGAAGCGGACAGACCCCACTGACTCTTTACCAACTTGACTGACAAGTGAATATATATATATGCTATACTATACTATATATGGTTTATATATATATATATATATGTATATGAAGTAAGTATGTGACAAGTATTTTGAACAAAAACTTTGTCTGGCAAACAGACTACGTACGCTTGACTTTCTGGCCTGAGAACTTTTGGAAATTGCTCGAGAAGAGAGGAGACTACGCTTTGTCGTACCAACTTGCATCGCTCCTGCCGGGCGTATGCTTAATATTATAATGCCAAAATAATGTGCATTTGGAAAATTGCTGTCATGCACCCCACTCACCTTCTCTCTAAGAAGGAAACAGAAATAGAACAGAAACCGGAGCCGGAGCAGGAGAAGCAACATAAGGCTACGAATTAGCTGGAGAAACACATCAATTGTCAAGTGTCAGCTTGTACAGTCATCCAACTGGCTTATTAAACTTCAATTTGCGACTAGAACTGCCAACTTGGCTGTCTACAATTTTTCTTATGCCATTTTATATATATTTTTTTTTCAATAAGAACTCACCTATATTCATGGGAGAGGAAAAAAGTTCCTCGAATCAGACATCCATTGGGATTCTTGCGTTTTCCATTGAAGATCTTTTGGTAATGATCGTAATTATTCAAATTGACAGCTCCATCAAAGGTTAGCATAATGATTTGTGGGATCTGTAATTAAGATATATAATTTTAAATAATTTATCTTAATTAAATGATTTGAAAAAACAAAAAAAGTGTCTTTTTTGTCGCTACGTGACTTAGTGGATTAAGTATGTGTGTTAGTGAGTGGGTCGGTGGGTTTTTGGATTTTGAGTGGGTGTTTGTACCCAATTAGAGGATTGCCGACCTCAAAATCAGCCGGGCATACGATGGCATTGGAAGCCGCAGCAGCAAAAGCAGCAAAGCAGCAGCTCTAATTGAAGGTTTTGCATTTTGCGTTTGTTTTTCCTGTCTGCGTTGCGCCTGGTTGCGCATTTCCACACACAACCACCCAAGCCACCCAAGCCACCCATGCCACCCAAGCCACCCCCTCTCTTTAGCCCACCATGCAATTGCAACACCACCACTCTGTACAACCACTGTGGCATCCACTATGGATGGGAATCACCTTTCGGCTTTTTTGGTAAAACTAGCAACTTTAGCATTAAACATAATTAGTGGGCATGTGGGTTGGTTGCAAGTTGCAAGTACCGCCAACTACCGCCCGAAACGAAACCAAATTAATTCCAAAAATATGTCCAACCATCAATAAGCAGTCGTAAAGCAAAAACCAAAATACAACAAGTGCCACACCGATTCCATTACAAAATTGCAAAAAAAAAGTATGAGTGGGCGAGCTGCAACATTTTCGGGGGCAAGAATTAAGGTTTATTCTCTGCCACAAAAGGTGAAGAAACTTGAGGACCAGAAAGTGTGAAAATAAAAAGAAAATCTGCAAACTGCATTTCGGTTTGGCTGCTCGAGAGCCGGCCATAAAGGCGTGTGGCACGAAGACGCTGCAAGCAAGGTGGCAAGCTGGCACTTAACGCTCATTGTTGGATGCATAAAAAAGGATTATTATACAAATTCAATATTAATGTGGTCGAATGGCAGAACCGAATAGAGCTGGCGAATTTATGCAGAGGCGTGAAACACTCGAGAGTTCTGCGGGCTTAGATGCCCCAAGCTCTTTCAATTCCAATTGAAATTTGCACTTCGATTTGACAGCCCATCCTTGCCCCATTCTCGCTTATTCCTTATTCCTTTTCATCCATTTCTTTTTTTATTCTCTATATATTTTATATAATTTTTTCAAAGATGCATTTTCTTGGAGAAACCCAAACCGATTGCATATCAACTGAAAAAAGTTTCTTTCTTTCGTAAAAATATTATTGCAAAAATAATGAATTTGGTTTTTTTGAGGGGGGAATGGACTTGAAAAGAACGTGAAACGTGATGAGAAGTTGCAAGAAAAAAATCATAAAATATTAACCAAGTTTGGAGAAAGTTTCAGGTTATGGTACCTTTTGTTTGAAACCTAATTAGAGTTTTTAGTCCTAAACTAGTCCTATTGTTTCTTGAATCTATTTATTTAAATATTATATATATATGTGTGTGTTATTTCCTTTTTTTTTTGTCTTCATCGTCCCGCACTTTTCCGCGAGCGTTGATAATTTTCCCCTAATGCGACTCAAGTTTGCACTTTAGTCTTTTGGCAAATATGGCAGCCGAGAGTTGCGAATTGATAAGCACCTACCCGGAGAGTGACGAAGCTATGGGGTTGGGGGTGTGGGCTATGGCCTGAATAATATACAGACAGACATACAGACAGGCAGGGAGCTGGAGAAGTTTTCCTTCGTCGTTTGGTAAGGCTTCTGGTAAATTTGCATAGCTCAGTTGCTCAATCGCAGCGACAATTGAGCGGCTCATTGATTGCACCACCCCCACCACCCACTCTTCCACAAACTTTTTGTTGACACTGTGCCATCTTTTCGTTTCATTTTCTTCAAATCGAATTCGATTCGTATTGAAATTGAGCAAAAGCATATAGTTTATTTTAAAATTTAAATTCAATTCTTTAATCTTAAAATAAAATATTAAAACCAACCTCTAGAGATCGAACTGTAGCCTCAAGATTCCAATGGAACACCGGAAATTAGCCGCACATTGTGAAATGAAGCGATGCGATAATGGAAATACCAAATCAAACAATAACCCCGTGGTATATAATGGTGTGAGCTATGAGGAAGCACACACTTGCCATAGACACAGGGCGTATGCGTGATATGCGATGTGCGATCCCAAATCAAAGGAACTTTTTGGCATGCACAAATTAACCGCTTGTTAGCGGTTAATTGAGATGATATTAATTATAATTATGCCAGCGCGCGCACAAACAATCAAATCATACAAATATATGTGTATGTGTGGCAACAACAAAGGATATTTTTGGGATAAGGGACAAGTCGCAAAGGAGATACTCTAGAAAAGAGTACAAAAATTATCAAAATCTTAAGAATAATAATAAAAAAAATAGGTGACAAGGATAAACTTTCAAAAGTAGGCAATCATTTTTTTTTCTGGCAGCTCAACCCTTTCTCTGAGAGCTCTAACCTTTAGTAGAGTATTAAAATTCAGTTAGCAAATGCAATTATTTTTGGGCCGCGCTGCTGCAAACACATGTAAGCGCTAATAATACTTAAATAAGCACTAATACACTCTCGCACACCCACTCACACAGACACAGACACACACTGACAGGCAGACACAAACAGGACAAAGCGGATGGCAAGGACAAACGTACATTTCAATTTCGAAATTAAGTGGCTCACTTGCCTTGTTTGTATTTGAATGTCTATGTGTGTGTGTGTGTGTGGGTGTGTGTGTGGTTGATGCATTCCCCTATACATATATGATTTTGATTGTGAGTGTGGGTGTGGCTTTATTTGTTTGTCTGTATGTATGCTCTTGCCATATAAACATCCGTTTTGCTCGTAACTTATGCGGTTTATGTTTTGTTTTTTTTTTTTTCTCACTGATTTATGTTCTGGGCATATTTTTGAAAACTGCAGGCATGATTTTTACGATAAGGGTTCTAAAAAATTATACATACATATATGAGTTTTCATAATGAAAATTCTTAAATCCTTAAAGAAAAAAAAGGACACACTGAAAAGTCACTTTGTTACTGTATTTATTTATTTTTTTTTTATTGATACTATTTATTCCACAAGAACATAACTCTTGGCCAAATAAACAAAGCCAAGTTATTAAACAGGATATTCGAATCAACAGGAACAACAATAAAGAAAATACAACAACAACAACAGATGGAAGGATACGACAGACAAAAATAAAAAACAAAAACAATAATAAATAAATACAGGAGAACAATTTCCTTATGCAAGGCGACGATAAGAGCAAAACCGAATGCAAATACATAGATTTATAGCCAGGACGAAATCGGACAATCCAGGAGGAGCTGAATGCTGAATGGTGAATGGAGAATGGCAAGCTGGGTTGCCTGTTAAGAACTGTTCTCTTCCTGAAAATTGTATAGTATTCCCATTGCCCATTGCCACCATCCTAAAGCCTCTACTACAACTACACTCCTCCGATCCACAGAATCCACAGCTGGCGTAGCCCCAGTTCCGTGTCGTAAAAATAAAAGCTGTCAATGCACTTGAAATTTATCGCCCTGCAAATTAACACTTAAATGCAAATGGAAAGAGGCGGGGCTGGGGTGGCCAGGGAAGCAAACAAGTGGCAGGATATTTTATAGATTTTAATTAAGACTAAAGGATGCCCTGGAAAAGGTTTTGAAGTGCTTTTGGGGAAATATTTCTAAGGCTTGGTTAAGGACTTGAAGATCAGGTCTGGTTGTAATAATAGCTTGGGTTTTTTTTGTAAATAATTAAGAGAGTATCTAACTTATAAAATATAAGTTTTTAAATTTTTTTCAAAGCTTAAAAGTGCTAATAAATGTTTTGTTAATGAAATACCTAATATAGTTTCTAAAACCGATAAGCTTTTGTTTCTTTCTAAAGTATAGGGTATTTAGAAATCTCTATAATTTATTTTCTAATAATTTTCTCGATTTACTTAAGCTCTTGGTTTAATTTTCTTACAAAGTTTAATTAAATATATTAAAATTTCTACAATATCTTTATTTTTTCTCACTTTTCCGAGAACTTATCACATTTTTGTAATAACATATGTAAGTGTTTCTACCTCCCCAAACGTTCCCCAAAAACTCACCTTCTCCGGTTCCAGGTCTCCGGGCACCTGAGTACCATCCTTGGAACAGAAACAGTAGGGCAGAGCACAGTCTTCCGTGTTGCATCTTTGCGCCGTATCAGCAGGTGCATCCGTGGCAGGGGCAGGTGCTACAACAAAAGAAACAAAAAAAGAAATGTGAAGAAAACATGATTTTGGGTTTTATTTAACATCTATTTCGTTATGCGAGATCCAATCCGGAATTCTTGGCCAAACTTGAAAGTCAACAAGTATCAGAAGTAGCACAATGCCCGCCCGGCCAAAAATAAATAAGGTGGATGGAGAGAGAGAGTGCCAAGAAAGAAGTTAAAAGAAAGTTAACAATGCTGGGTGGGTAGGTGGTAAGTCAAATAGCTTAAAGCCAAATCCTGAGCCCCATTTCGTTGCCTTTCTTTGGGTCAAAAGCTATTTGCATATGTGGCAGAGATGAAGAGTGAGAAAAATTAAAAAAAAAAAATATTTTTCATTAGAAAAATCATTAGAGAATTTTCCTATGTTTTTCGCTATCAATTTTTAAAAATTATCCTTTAAAATTATGTATAGATAACCTTTCTCTCTGTGTAAATGTGATTGCCATTCGAATCGAAACAAAACGAAACTCAAACGAATTCAATTGCTTTTTTCTTTACTGCCTCTCTGGCTCTGCAGGCTTTCCTCGTCTCGATTTCTTCGTCATTGCCAATCAGTTGTTGTTTTGGCTTTTTTGGCGAGTAAACAAATTCGCTTAAAGTTGTGAAAACAAAAAGGTGAAGCAAGCCATATTTCCAACTAAATTAACAAGAAAGGATAGCCAAAAACACATACATATATGTGTACATATCCTTAAACACTTTTTGGCCAAAAGGCTACAAATGAATGCGAGTTGTTGAAAGAACTTTAATTAATAAAACATAAAATACCCCAAGGGCCACATCATCAATCAATTCAATGTCATTTTCATTTCAATTTTGCATTTTCCATTTTCTATTTTCTAAGATTCTTAGTTTTTTTTGTGTTTTTCTGGCAGATTATTTGGTTCATAGCCTTTAAGCCAGTTTGAAAAGATGTTGGAGTTCTCATTTCGATTAAGCCCTTCGACAATGCTTAACTGGGATTTAATTACACAGCCTTCAATGTTATGCAAATTTTCATTTTCCAGGCAGGACAATTGGGGCCATAGAAAAGGGCAAAACAAGGCTGCCCTGTGTTCTATCTAATAGTAGTGACATAACAGCAAACAAATATAAATGAAGAGGCTTTTTTTTTTGTTTTGTTTTTACTTCAATACTCCAATATTAACATAACATTTCCAATCGGATTGGGGGAGTGGGGTTCAACTGGGATTGGAAAATAGAAAAGCATTATTTTATTTGTGCTGCAGAAATTGCAGAAATATAAATATAAAAAGTAAAACCGGAAAGGACAAAAAGGAAAATAAATGCTTGTGGCATATCAATGCCTTTTGAAATATATATTTGTGGTCACATCATAAATAACGGCAATGAAAATGAAATGCTTGGCAATTAATTGGCCAGGATACAAAAATATATACAAATATACATATATGAGAGAGTATATATGTACATATAGGGCAGGAATTGCAATCAACATAAATTCTCTTGGGCAGTTCCATTCCCTTCTTTTTTTTTTTCTTAAAACAAGAAAACTTTAAGAAACTCTATCTCTCTCTCTTTCTATTTGTGTGCTTGCTGTCTCTGTCCAACTGTTTGGCAACAACTTGTGCCGGAGTTATTGAATAAAATGTAATAAACACTTTTAGTAACTTTGTCTTGTGCCTGGGAAGCGGACATCGATTCACATTTTTGCACTCGGTGCGTATACGTAATATTTGGTTACTGTCTTTGGGGATTTTTTTTATAAAAACACTTGAAAAAAATATTTTTATAAATATTTATTAGTATTCTAAGGTTTATAAAAGTAATATTTGTCGTTGAAGAGTATTTAATATTCAGTTTTTTTCTTTTAAACTTAAAATATCCTTTATATAGATATCCTTTTCTGTTACAATTTTTTTTGTACTATTTTGTTGGTGTTGTGTAAGCAATATTGAAATTCTGTCATTGAGCGTGCTCACTGAATTATGAAATTGAAAACTATTCAGTGCAAAAAAGAAACATTTTTCTTTGAATTTTATCAGCTCAGCGTAACGCGTATGTGGTCCTGGACTATGGACTCTCAAGTAGAAAATCAGCTTGTCAATTCTGTGGGGCTTTCTGCATGAAACTGTCAACTCGAAAGAGAAGAGATCCATCTACTTTGTATATGTTACCTTAAGCCTTAAATAAATGGCTTAAATATTTTAATTTGACCGAATCGAAATTGTAATGGAAATATATATACATGTATATATATATATTTTGGGAATTCACACCCTCAATCCACACACACAAACATTTTTTTTTTTGGTTATTTATTTTGGGGACAAGCTGCTGTCACAATTTGAAATTCAGTTGAGACTCGTGTTGCGTTGCGTTTACGCAATTCGTCAGTCGTCAGTCGAGATTTGAGGCAAAAGTCTGGACAGATTTTAGACGAATGTCGGAGTGTAGGTCTTTCGGCTTCGGCTGGCAAGCCTTTTAATCCCTCGACTGGCTTAGTTGGCAGATGGCAACGAAATTAAAGTGCCAGGACGTTTATAGGCAATCAGTTAGTTTGCTTCACTCATTTTGATGAAATTGCCTTAAATTATATAATGGAATACAAGTGGTAGGATCCCAGGCAGGATGAGGCTGATGATTTCTAGGTAGGGATTTTCTAATGGATGTGATATACTTGGCTTGGACCAATTGGCAAAATGAAGATAGATGGCTGGCTGAATGCATCTTGTAAATTATAGAAACTTTTCAAAGTGTGTGTGTTTATTGAATGCATAAAATATACAACTATTTTTTTTTTTGACTAAACCTGAAAATGGCCAAGGAACAAATTGCCACAAAAAAAGACAACATACTATCAGAAAACTATATACTTTTTTTTGATATAAAAATATATCCAGAGTCAGCGAAAAAAAAGAAACCGAAAAAATTGTATGCACAGAGCTTTGACCTAATCTCTGCTGCAATATTTCTCTTCGTCCTGCGAACTTTTGGGTGTGCCTGTGTGTGTGTGTGTGTCCCGCTGAAGAAAAGTAATAACATAAATGACGCACACATCCCGACACACACCATTGCAAACTCACGCATACAGATGGGGTCATATAAATAGGTTTTAGGAAGTACGGGATTATTAATCAAAACTATTTCTCAAAAATAGAGAGAAAATATATTCTTATCCTTAAAAAAATTTAAAAATAAATATTTTTTTTACCCTCACTGTATGAAAAAAATAAAAACTATGGGGGAGTGTGAGTCCTAGCTATTTATATGAGACAACATTCCAGTCGGTATTACGCAAATCCCCAAACGCTTTAGCTGTCGCAGCTTTCTTCCAAGCGGTTGCCTTCCGACCAACGACCAGGAACTAGGATCCTGTGTCCTTATCCCTCACTCCACCCTACCCCCTATCCATATCCATATACCCGTAGTAACTCCCAAAAATCCGTTACCTCTTCCCCCTTCCCAAAACCCTTTTATTTTTCGCATCCAAAAACTAGAAATGGAATGGAAACTACTGCAAAAGTGCGTGTTTGCATGTGTGCCATATGTCACTCTGTGTGTGTGTGGGAGTCTGGGTGTGTTTTCCCGCCCCGCCCCCTTGTCTACCTCCACGCTTAGCCCCCTTGCCACCGAAAACCTATTCCCCCCTTTTTAATAGTATTTGTGCATTTAATTCTATGCTCGTTCCTGTTGAATTTTGGCCTTTTCGTTGCCTACACTGCAAATTTTTAGCTGTATGGGGCTTAACAGGAAATATTTGAAAAAATATTTTAAAATTATTATCGTATAATATTTTAATGCAAAGTTTTAAAAACCGACCACAAATCGTTTAAGGTATTCCTCGCAAGGATCGGATGAGAATTGGCCAAGATATGGTCTTCCCAGGGGGCCATATGCCAAAAACCCACTTTTTGAAGGGGTCTCCCCAGGAAAAATATGAAAAAAATCGAAAAAATATTTTGTGTCCAGATTTTGATGCAGAATGATGGAAAATCGGTCCACAAATCGTTTAAGGTATTCCTCGCAAGAATCGGATGAGAATTGGCCAAGATATGGCCTTCCAAGGGCGCTATAAGCCGAAAACCCACTTTTTAAAGGGGTCTCCCCAGGAAAAATATGAAAAAAATCGAAAAAATATTTTGTGTCCAGATTTTGATGCAGAATGATGGCAAATCGGTCCACAAATCGTTTAAGGTATTCCTCGCAAGAATCGGATGAGAATTGGCCAAGATATGGCCTTCCAAGGGCGCTATAAGCCGAAAACCCACTTTTTAAAGGGGTCTCCCCAGGAAAAATATGAAAAAAATCGAAAAAAATATTTTGTGTCCAGATTTTGATGCAGAATGATGGCAAATCGGTCCACAAATCGTTTAAGGTATTCCTCGCAAGAATCGGATGAGAATTGGCCAAGATATGGCCTTCCAAGGGCGCTATAAGCCGAAAACCCACTTTTTAAAGGGGTCTCCCCAGGAAAAATATGAAAAAAATCGAAAAAATATTTTGTGTCCAGATTTTGATGCAGAATGATGGCAAATCGGTCCACAAATCGTTTAAGGTATTCCTCGCAAGAATCGGATGAGAATTGGCCAAGATATGGCCTTCCCAGGGCGCTATAAGCCAAACACCCACTTTTTGCAGGGGTCTCCCCAGGAAAAATATGAAAAAAATCGATAAAATATTTTTTGTCCAGATTTTGATGCAGAATGATGGAGAATCGGTCCACAAATCGTTTAAGGTATTCCTCGCAAGGATCGGATGAGAATTGGCCAAGATATGGTCTTCCCAGGGGGCCATATGCCAAAAACCCACTTTTTGAAGGGGTCTCCCCAGGAAAAATATGAAAAAAATCGAAAAAATATTTTGTGTCCAGATTTTGATGCAGAATGATGGAAAATCGGTCCACAAATCGTTTAAGGTATTCCTCGCAAGAATCGGATGAGAATTGGCCAAGATATGGCCTTCCCAGGGCGCTATAAGCCAAACACCCACTTTTTGCAGGGGTCTCCCCAGGAAAAATATGAAAAAAATCGATAAAATATTTTTTGTCCAGATTTTGATGCAGAATGATGGAAAATCGGTCCACAAATCGTTTAAGGTATTCCTCGCAAGAATCGGATGAGAATTGGCCAAGATATGGCCTTTCCAGGGGGCCATATGCCAAAAACCCACTTTTTGAAAGGGTCTCCCCAGGAAAAATATGAAAAAAATCGAAAAAATATTTTGTGTCCAGATTTTGATGCAGAATGATGGAAAATCGGTCCACAAATCGTTTAAGGTATTCCTTGCAAGAATCGGATGAGAATTGGCCAAGATATGGCCTTTCCAGGGGGCCATATGCCAAAAACCCACTTTTTGAAGGGGTCTCCCCAGGAAAAATATGAAAAAAATCGATAAAATATTTTTTGTCCAGATTTTGATGCAGAATGATGGAAAATCGGTCCACAAATCGTTTAAGGTATTCCTCGCAAGAATCGGATGAGAATTGGCCAAGATATGGCCTTTCCAGGGGGCCATATGCCAAAAACCCACTTTTTGAAGGGGTCTCCCCAGGAAAAATATGAAAAAAATCGAAAAAATATTTTGTGTCCAGATTTTGATGCAGAATGATGGAAAATCGGTCCACAAATCGTTTAAGGTATTCCTTGCAAGAATCGGATGAGAATTTCCTATTCCTTCTTTTTTCTAACATCTCTTTGGAAGCTTTTTTCTATATTCTGATTAAACTGCAATATATAATATATGAACATTTCTCTCTGTGTAGAATAACTGAAAGAAAAGCGCCAGTAAAATGTTGTGCAACTCTGTAGGTGCGCCCCGGCAATGCAAAAGTCCGAGTCTGAAACTGAAATCTAAATCGTAAATGTAAGCTTTAATGGTTCGCACACACACACATGGGGGGCTGAGAGATGGGAGATCTAGCAGGGGGCATACAAAAGGGGGCTTACAATGGGGGGTTTACAAGCCAGCTAGAAGACGAGACGAAAGATAGACTTGGTTATTCTTAAGCGGTCGCGTTTGTGCCCCATTTGAAGTGCACTCAATGTCGTGGCATGAAGTGTAGGATGGGATGCGGTGTGTGTGCACAGTCTGTGTGTAAAGTTGGGTGGCTCCTAAGCACTTGGCATTCATCTTGGCAATGGCACAGCCCTCTGGGCCACGCCCCTTTCTAACCAAAGGCAACCAGCAAGGTGGCCCTTTTCTGGAAAGTCAATAGAGCGGACAATGTTGGAGCAATGGAATTTCGATTTTTGTTAGATTTTTAGTTTGATTTCGATTTGGATTTAAGGGTTTCTCTGTGGGCTTGGGGGCTTGTGGGCTTGTGTGGACTTGGGCCTGGGGTTTTTGCTTTTGGCACAAAAGCATCGAATTGTGTGGCCATAAATGAATTATGAGACATTTACTTCAAATTGCTTTCTAATGCAAAACATCCATAGAGTTTCCTTAAATTGTTTGGCCTTTCTAACCCTCTTCCAAGTGTGTATTTCCAACCAAAAGACACAAATATAAAAACAAAATCCAGACATTTGGAAAAAGCAAGGAATAAAACTAAAAAAAAGAAAGAAAGGGGAAGGACCTTTCCCAAAAAAGAAATGTTGGCCACACTTAGAGAGCACTTAAAGTTTTTACTTCATTTCTTTGGTGCTGAGGTCCTGGGGTCTTGGGTCTTTTGTGTTTCCTCTGATTTATGTTGCACTTGCAATTGCAAGAGAGACAGATAGTGACTGGAATTTTAGGGACTTGCACTAATCACTTACTTGTTGCTAACGGACCGCACTTGGCCTCGTCCTTAAATGTGCAGAACTTTTGGACATCGTCGAAGTAGAGTCCAGACGGGCAGCGGTTCAAATACGGATATCCGTCGACGCACTGCCATTTTTTTTTTGGAAGAGAGAAAGGAATATACATTGTAGAGTGTCATAAATTGAAAGTAAGCCTTTAAAATTGGTATAATAATTTACCTGGTAGAAGCGACGGCAGGTTGCTGGATCGGCATAGTTGCCATTGGCGATATGTGAGGGGCATTGGAACTCCTCCTTTTCTTTGCCTTGGCCTGTGAAGAAAAGTTTTTAAAATTTTTACAATAATAGTAGGTAGTTTTTATGAGCTTACAATATTGTAATTACTTTCCCACTTTTAAGCCTTTAACTTCTCAATCAAATATTTCGAATTCCTCATTGAAAATTATTATTTATAAATCACAATTCACCATAACGAACTCATGCAAATTTGCTGCGGTAATCCATCCAATTCATAAACCACTAGTATTAACTTCTTTATAGAGTTAAGTTGTGCATGGAATTTAAATATCCGGCAATTAATTGCATAATAGACACAATACTTTATGTACGCGCATATACACATGTAACCCAACAGATTTATATTTTAAAACATATATGTATACACTTGACTACCGACCTGGAGGATAAATATATAAATTATAATCGCTTAATGTATATTTATGATGGTTACGTTCGTTGGGGTATTTTGTGTGTTTTTTTATTTTATATTTTTAAGCCAAATCGAAGCTTAAAGGGCTTGGCGGCTTGACATTTAAACAAAAAGCAAAAAAACATAATACAGCCACAAGAGAAACGGTGGCCCGATAAGCGAATGAAACAAATAAATAAATAAATAGTAGATAAGTTATAATTAAATGTCGATTTACGTTTGATCAACTAACAAAACAAAAAAAAAAGCCATAAATAAATAAATAAAGTATGGCTGCGAAAAAAAAATGGAATTTGTATTTATTGTGAAGCCTAATTAATGAAAATATTTCAAAGTTGTGACTTGAAACTAAACAGATAAGGTACAGGAGGAAGGGTTTGCTGGCTGGCTGGCTGGTGGCTTAGAACTCTAATGAATATAAATTGACTAACAGCATTAGATTAACTCTCAAAAATCCCCGCTAATACCACACCGTACACCGTGTTCCCATTTCTGAAATCAATTCAAAGCGAAATTATAATGATTATTTTCGGGGGAAAAACTGATGAGATATCGGGGAGTTTTTAATTATGCGAACGGCGTTATTAGCCGGGGCGGGTTGACGTTTAAAATTATTCATAAAGCCGATGCATTTTGGTCTAAATGTTAATTAAATGAAAACTATTATTGAACACAATTGCATTACGTATTACGGCTGGTGGATGGTGGCTGGCGGCTCGCGGCGTGTGCGGCCTATCATGATAATTATAATAATTATAATTTTATTTGTCAGTTTTATGATTTTTCATTGTTGCCATGGCACGAAAACGGCAATTAAGCGATAGCTTAGTCGCAAAAATCGAAATAGAAAACAAAGCATTATGTATACGCAGTGTTGTCACTTGTTTAGGAATTAAATAAATACAATTCTGTGGTCTAGCCTCACTACCGAATATCATAAACACTGACACCGAAAGGTTACAAAAAAAGACCTCTGCAAACATTTTCTCATTTTTATTTGACATTCAATTTAGGAGTCGTGTCATTTAATAACATTTTTTTTTCTCCTCCTCCCATATTGAACTTAACATTAAGTGGGCAACTTGAAAATTTTGAACAAACAAATGGCAAATATTTGAAGTCGAGCCTTTGTTGTGTGTTTGCACAATATTTTTGTTAAAATATTTAAATGTTATTGTTTGGTTTGGTATTTATAAAGGTTTTTAACGATTTCTCAAATACCCAGTACTACTTTAGTTTATTTCAATCTCTTCTAATTCCAATATACCCTTTGACTTCCACAAGTACCGGGTATAAATATCAGTTAATTTAAATGGAATGTGTAAAATAAACAATAACAAAGCAAAACAACTGACCAACACAACAAAAAAAATAATAATAATAACAGGATAAATAACAAAAATTCTTTATGTGAGTAAGTATACATACTCACATAAAAAATGGCAACATTTTCATTTAATTATTATGGCTAATTAATATTTATTAACCAGTTTCCGCCCCCACACACACACACACACTAACAGAGAGAGAAGAATTTCACGGCTAATGAGGCAATGTCCTCTAAGCGGCTTATGACCCCCTTCTTACTATTCCCAGCCATCGCCCCCCTGATAGCGCAAGGAATTCAATTCAAGCCAATATTCTTCCTTGTCTTTAAGGTCCTGTTCACATCATCAGGATAAAAAACGATGAAAAATAATAATACAATTATTGCACATTTATTTAAAAGTCATAAGGCCAATTAAATGGAACAAGTTTTCATCGTTTTCTGTACGTTTTTTTATTTATTTCTGTTGCTGTTGCTCTCTTGCCCTTAATTAAGAAATTGGCAATGCGGAAAATAATAATTAAAAATAAGCCGGCAACCGTAACGTTCAAAAAAGGATTTATTTTTCGTCCTTTCACTCGTCGGGGCGCGAAACGCAGTTGCAAAGAAATTAAATGTGCTCGAGAAAATAAATAAATACAAAAATTGAATTGAACCGAAAATGGCAGCAAAAAAATATGCCATTTCCTTGCTAGACCATCAATTATTAAAGATTTTTAAAGAGTTTCACTACAAATTATCTGAAATGTAAGCCTGAAAAAAGAACAAATCACTTAACTAAATGACTAAAGGCTTTATTTAAGCTTAAGATTTTCTTTATTCACATTGGCCTAGTTTAAATAGAGTTTTTTATTTGCTGACACACTTTCATTTAATTTCATTTGCAGATATACGACTATGTACGGATATTCACTTAACACATTACGCATTACCCCCCTTTATATATGTATTTTTTTGTAAAAGGGGGGGTAGCGACCCCCATGTCTTTGTCTCGTTCCTTTGCAACTGTTATTGCTCTTGTTTATCCGTTGGCATTTTCAAGTAATTTTTCACGCATTTCTGTGGCTGCTTTGCGCCTCATTTTTCACATCTGCCCACGTATATATGTGCATATGTATGTGTTAAGCTGCTTAAATGTTTTTTTTATTTTTGTTTTTTGTATTTTGTCGCCATTTTTTTTTTCGCTCTCTGTAGTCGCTGCTTTTCTGCATTTACAACACTTAAATTGTAAATAATGCCGATTTGGTTAGCCCCAGAGAACGAGACACCCAGCAAGTGGGCAACCAAAAAAAAAAGAAAAGCATAAAAAAATAAAGCTCAGTGTTCACTTTTCGAGTTTGTAATGGCCAAAGCCACTTGCTTTTAACAACAAATTTGCGTTTAAAAGGCTCATGTGCCTTCTGCTCTTATCCTTTTGCTTTTAATGTATTTTTAAATGAAGTTTATTTCGGTTTCTCGAAGACAGTGGCAGTTTGAAAGTTTAAGGGCTGATTGTGGTAGCTTTAAACATTATTATACTCATATTTCAAGTCATTTGGCTTTAAAACCAGCGAGTAATAGCCAACCAAAGTATTTGGCGGACAAACGGACACATGGACCAGGTCATAAACATAGCATAAGGGTTAACATATTTCAAAAGAGTGGGAGTGAAAAAATAAATTGAAATAATAATTCTATACAACAAAGTGTTACATTTTTGTGGCATTACATTAGTGTTTTTCTTTTCAAAGGGCTATACTTTTTAGTAAATATTTTATAAAAAATACATAGTGAAAGCAATTATGCAATACTTGTATGAAAGATATGCTATATAATACAAGAGTGAGGAAAAGTTGAACAAAAAGTCAAATCACAGGCACAATCATTTTGGATAAATGAAGCTCTGCAGCTCTCAGCATCCAATTTCCCTTTCCATGGATTGCTTTTTTATTTAATATGTTTTTTATTTCGTTTTTTTGGGGTTATCGGTGTATTGGTGTATTATCGATTGGCATTCGAAATTCCCGTTATTGTTGTTACGGTGTCAGTGGCAATTTACAATTTACATTTAAGTTTTTACGTTGTCCGTTTACATAATTCATGCAATATGCACCGTTTTTTTTTTTTTGTTTTCAGTTTTGTTTTCTGTATTTTTTTTTGTTTATTGGAAACAAGTTTTTCAAGCAGAGGCTGCCCTCCTCCCCCCACCCACCGCTCATCGAGCACAAAAGAAAGTGAAATCGAAAAGAAGAAATTTTTACAAATGATCATGATGCTGCGATAATGACACATAAAGTTCAGAAAAAAAAAAACAAAAACCGTTTTAATGATCGACAAAAATGAGTCTAGCTGGAAAATTAATTAAATCGAAATGTTGAAGAAGCCGCTTTGAAAAAAAAAAAACACAAAAAAGTAACAAAAATCTTCTTGCAATTTGCATATTCATGAATATTCAGTCATGACAGATATTTCCGATATGAATTTCGATTAGAAAAGACACTGAGGGAAATGAGTTTGAAAAAAAAGAGTTTTTCAAAAAATGTTGAAAGCGAATGGAAGATGCTATTAGTTACTCGCTACTAGTTACTAGTTACAGGCTACTCTTTACTAGTAATTAGTTACTAGTTAAATTTTCAAAAAATATAAGAATTTTAAAGAAAGAAACTATTTCTAAACCTTAAAATATATTATATTTTCAATTAATCTTCTTTATGACTTTGGCCTTTTAATTAATTTATTTATTTGCAATCTAACCCCTTAATTCTCTCAGTGTATGTAAATGTATGCTGCTTGTTGGCCGTCTTTCTGTCTGAATTGTTAATTAGCATCAGCGACTAAGCCAAGTGAGAGCTGCAAAAACTGCCGCTAATCAAGTTGGAGGTCAGTTCGGCAGTTGGCAAATGACAGACACAGAGACTTTTATTACGTAACGGGGAAGAGTGGCCAGAAAACTGGAACTGGATGTTAACCAGTTTATTTTTTTTTCTTTTTATACTATTTTCCTTTTTTTTGTGTTACCAACCAAGCCAGGATGGAGGCTGACCTTGCAGTCAAGGGAAAACCAGTTGGAAAAACCGCTGTTACCAATGTTACCTAATTCGTACAGGAAGTTTTGTTTTTTCAGTTCCCAGTTTTCAGTTTTCATTTTTTTTCACAAGCAAACACTCAGGAAGAGACTCTAACTATATAGACAAAGAAATATATATATATTTCTTGTATATATATTCAATTGACAACGTCAACACATTTCTTAAGGCCTTTTATTTCCTTTTTCCACTTACACTCGCAGCACAATAACAAAAAATTTAAAAAAAAAATACCTAAATCATAAAATAAAGGTGGGTCTATCGTTTTATATTAATATATACTATATGGTTATATTTAGTATATATATTAAAATATATAACGAATGCGGAAACGTTTTGTTTTGTTGGCCAGGAACTTACCATTTACACCAGCCACTATTAGCAGCACTGCTACGAGGCACTGTTGCAACATCTTGAAGCTTCCACACCGATTCTAGATGAATACGATATTACAATTGTTTCTATATATATAAAAATAATTATATATATAAAGCCCGATTCCGGAACGAGAGAGCGAGAATGAGCTGCGAGATCGGGGACCGGCGTGAGTGATAGAGAGAGAATGAGAGTTAGCGAGACGTCCGCAGCGCCCAAATGCAAAACGCCAACTGATCAAAAGCCTGGCCAAGAAATTGCAAGAAGCCAACTCTCGACTCGGCCACTTAGCCAATGAGCCACTTAGCCAACGTCACAGCTCAGAGCCGGCTCAAAGGCCGAGTGGCTGGCTCAAAGGTGCCCGAAGACAGGGCCTAGAGTTGCAAGAAAATTATAGCCAAGTGAAGGTAAAAGAAGTTTAAAAGGGTCTACCAAAAATAAATAAATTGGTAGTTATATACCAAAGACTTAAGGGTCTAAAAAGTACAATTTAAGCTTAAGTACAAATATAGAAAACTTTATTTTAATTTTATAATTTTAAGAAATATTAATCTTATCCCCTTAAGTAGTTTTTTTTTTAGCCATTTTTCAACTATTATTACAACACTGATCTTAGCGGCAAAGAGAGCTTTCTGGGTGCGGGCCCCTTCGGCAAACAAACTCAAAATTCACTTTCATTTCAACCGGCTTTATTCAATACAATTCGTTTCGAGTCTTTGAAAAGTCGAGGTGGGAGTCGTCGTCGAGTCGAGTGGAATCGAGTGAGTTCGATATAAAGCCGGTTTTTTGTCTTTTATTATTTAAACAGTTTATTTCTTGTTGTTTTTGTTTTTTTTTTGTGGAAGACACCGACTGGGCATGCGTGCGCATTTCAATGAGCCCCCAGGCAATTCCGACTCTGAATTAAAATCCGACATGGAGGAATTGGAATTATGCATATTGATTGTCACATTATGCTGTCTGGTAGTGGTACTATTGTAGTAGTGGTATCGGCTACCTGGCCATCCACCATCCATATGCATAATGATTCAAACAAGGTCTTGTGTCTTGGCACTTTAACTGCTTGATCCATTCCGCATCTTAATTAAATTCTAATCACAGATTAACCGTTATCAGATGCACAAGAAGGTTAATCAAAAATTCTACAAAGATTTCGGAAATTAAATCCAACGTGACTTTTAAGAAATTAAGTAAAGGGTAATCACTATACTTCAAGATGTCACCTGGGACATTCTGGGAACAAAAAAAACCAGTTGTTTGAATTTTAATTAGTTCTTTATAACTTTAAGAGGGTTATTTTAAAAATGAAATTAAAGAAAATACTAAGAATTAAAAAAATGACTGATAGAAAAATCTGGAACAGATTGGAAACTGGTTTTAATTGTATTTTATAAAAAGACAACCTCTCTGGTTAAATGAACTTTTCCTTTCAATTGAAATGTCAACAAAACTTGTCTTAAAATGGGTTTCTGGCTTTGTTTGATTATATCCGATTTTTTTAAAACAAGTTTCATGAAAGAAACTATGAAACCTCCTTTAAAAGTATTTTTTATTTATTTAATTTATGAAAAGTAACTAAATATAGTTGTATAAAAATTTCCATTTTGTTTCCCAAGGAATTATGTGCATTTTTCGTTTGCTTTGAAAACTCCACAAAAATTTCCCTACGAATGTGAATGACTGGTGAGGGTTTTCTCTCCAAAAACTTTCACACACACCCACACTAGGATTTTGTTTATTTTTTTTTAGAATATTTTTTATTTAGATATTTTTTATGAATATTCATTCAACATACATTAGACTTGGTCTTCTAGACAGAACAAGTTGATAAATTTTAGTTTCTTAACTTTTTGAATTGCAATTACTTTTAGATTATTTATTTGTAAATTAAATACAAAAATTTGTATAGACTTGTGGTATGCTTAATTTCGTTCATCACTGTGCCTGATGAAAAGCCAGAAATTTGTTTGCCATTTAAGCCAATAAATATGTAAATTTTTCATAAATTTAATTAAATTCACTAACAAAAGAGAAGCGTCACAGCTAAACTGCACCGAAAGTTATAGCCAGGCCCCTGGTGCCCCCCCATGGATGGATGTTGGAGGACAATAGTCGTAGAACTACGAAGAAGAAGAAGAAATGGAAGAAAAAGTATTTTTTTTTAAATTTTTTGTGGAGATCCATGGCTGAGTTGTTTCGGTGAATGAATGAGAATAAAAGTTTTTTGGTAAATGTATGCAAATATCTATCGCAGGCGTTGAGTGTTGAGAACGTCGTTTTTTCGAGTCTGCAGGTGCCAGATGCTTGACGGACAGACGGACAGGCGGACAAGCGGACACGCGGACAGACTGAGTCCTGGGTGGGGTGTACTGGTGTGTTATGCATGTCTGGCCTGAGAGACTAAGGCAAAAGTTTTCCATTTTTTTTTTTTGTTAAAATTATTATTCCCTTTCAACGATGATAAATGAAAATTGCCAGGGAATTTAATGGTTTTCCTTTTTTTTTTAATATTTGACTGACAAAGAACTGGCATAGTTTTGTGGCAAATAAAAACAAAAAGAAAACAATGAAATCGCAAGTGAGCGGTTGTGGAAATTAAAACTGAAAAGACAATCGCTTGGCTGCTCAAGAATACAGTTCCTGAGAAAGTTTAGGGTCACCCCCCCCCCAAAAATAAAAACTACAAACAATTTTCCACAGATATTGGCCGAAATAAAAGGCTAGTATTTGAATATTATAACAAAGGAGCTTCTAAAAATATAGTTCATTACAAATTAGCCAAATCAACTCTCTCCCAGAAAAAAATAGATATCCAAATTAAAGGCCAAAAACAGGACGAAAAAAAAACTATTGTTGGTAATTGAAGTGCATTGTTATTAGCCATGGTGGGCCTTTGTATGATGGATGCTGGATGGCATTTTCCGACTTTGGGGAGTGAAAATTTGACAAGAGGGGGCGTGGGCGGTAGTGTGAAGCGAATTTATTGCGAATTAGAATAATGCCAGTGCTCTGTATAGCCGCCATACAAATCGAAATTAAATTGAAGCTCTATCTCTATCTCTATCTGACCTGCTGTCTCTCTATCTCTCTCTAATAGCAACAACAAAATTACGAATTGCAATGAAATGTTACTGGCTTCTGGCTAAATCCGAGGGCCCAGAATGCATCAGCAACAGCAGCAGCAACAGCAGCACCAGGAGCAGGTCAGCCTGCAAATCAGGCTCATTAATTATGATGAATTGGAGCAGCCGAGCAGCAGGACAGCAGGTCCTGCAGGCGATTCCCACTCCCGGAAAATTTTGGAATGACTGCAGGAGATTGAATATATCTACACTGAGAAAAATAAATATTAAAAGCCAAAAGATAGATGGAAGTCGAGAAGTAAGGTAAGTTATTGTTTGTTTTGGGTTTAAATTATAACCATTTTAAGGGGCTTATATATAATAAAATATATATTTTTTAAAGCTTAAAAAATTAAGTTATTGAAGATTTTTAAATCAGAATTTTTGCATATTTTATAACAATTCCCTAAACATTTTTTTTAAATATAACCAGGCTAAACAAAACCTTGATTATATCAAGAAAATAACTAAAATCTTAACTCTAACCATTTTTCATAAAAAAACCTCTTAATTTTACTTCCAAAAATATCATTTCTTTTTAACCTTAAGCCTTATATTTAAAAGGTCAGATTTTTTTTGCAACTGCAACAGCTAGAGGCACTAGGTGGCATCAGGGCGGAATCGCGTTGTTGGCGCGTCGGGAAAAATTGGGGGAAAGTGTTGTGTGATGTAAAATTGAAATTGGATTGGAAATATTTGCACGAAATTCCAATTTTCATTTTCAATTGACGCTTGTTTCGTCACGAATGAGCAGATATAGTACGTATTTGGCATTACCAGTTTGGAAAATTTGGGCTCAGTCGCTGTTTTCCCGCCGCTCTTCACTCAATTACAGGCCTTTTGTGTGTTCTCCTCCGGAGTCCATTCCCTCGTAGTTGGCCCCGGTGCCGGTAGCCGGGCACTCCTGGACTCACGGTACTCTAGCCGTAACCGTAACCAAAACCGTAACCGAATCATCCGTCAGGTGTGTGTGTTTTTGTGTTGTTGTGTGAGTTTTGCACGCACGTGTGTGTATCTGTTTGTTATTTGTTTGTTTGCTTCTGGTCAGTTGTGCATCTAACCAGTCGCGGTTGCTACACCTCCTTGCGAGTCCTTGCCACTTGCCACTAGCCACTGCCTTGGCTGGCCCTGTTCTTGCCACGCCCCAATTGCCAGCCGGGGGAAGTGGCAACAATAACATCCTTGGCCACAACGGAATCCTTGGGTCCTCGGCAATGTAGGGGCCACAAGACACCAGGGGGTCCGGGCAAAGCGAAGCGAGGCGGCAAAGGGAGCAGAATAGATTAAAGGTAAGCAAGGCAAAGGTAAGCAGATCGCTCGGCAAAGTAAAGTTTCATCAGAACGGGTCTCAAAGGCACTGAGAAAAATGTATTATTGTATTTTATAATCTATAATTATCCTTGAATCTTATAATTTTATAACCCAGCCAATGACAACAGTGCGTACGGTGATATGAACTCTTAAAAATAACTTCCTTTGAAAACAACACTTATTATCAGTAATATCCTCTTTCCAACACTATCTATAAGCAATAATCATTATCCAGCACTACTTATATCCTACAATTTTCTGCCAGTGTTGCAAAACGTCCACTGGTCAGGCTCGTAAGCGGGCCAAAAGGACAAAAATTGAGATTCAAAGAGAGTCTTGACAGATTTACGATTCAGAAGGTGCTCATTTAGCCGGGGAGTCATTACACGAAATTTGCATAATGCCACGTGAGGAGGGAAGACACCGGGGGAGGGGTGATTGGAGAGTGCAGTACCTGGGATTCATGAATACCTTTGAATATTGACTTTGACAGTTTTTGGGCCTCCAATGAGTCGAGTCCGAAAACGTTTTAGAATCGATGGCGTGTGAATGAATTATGTGTGAGTTGTTTTTTGATTGATAGCTACTCAGAATGATTTGAGTTTCATCTCGGAATCTGAATAAACTTTAAAAATTCTCCATTAATTCGCCAAAACATTTGCCAATGTCAATAAATCCTTGAGTATCTTTATTAATGGAGATTCGAATAACCATTCTGAGTCGTAAATTTAATTCAAATGAGCTTTGTAGCATTCGAGTTTGCCATAAAAATTAAATTGAATTCCAGAAAGGCAAAGAATGCGAAGAAA